AGGAGTGACCAGGAATAACGGTCACAAGCTGGCAGAGGGTAGATTTAGGCTAGATATCAGGAGGCGCTACTTCACGGTCAGGGTGGCTAGGATCTGGAACCAACTTCCAGGAGAAGTGGTGCAGGCTCCTACCCTGGGGGTCTTTAAGAGGAGGCTAGATGTACACCTTGCTGGGGTCGTTTGACCCCAGTACTCTTTCCTGCCATGGCAGGGGGTTGGACTAGATGATCTACTCAGGTCCCTTCCGACCCTAGAAATTATGACACTATGAAACTATGAAACTATAATCTCTAATGGAAAATGGAAAGATTGCATAGAGAAAGAACTTGGCTTTTACTGTCATAACTCTGTGCTATTGAGAGTGTAGGTATGTTGTAAATCTTTACTCACTCAGTTGTGTACATGTACACTGCAGTTTTTAGTAGTGTTCTGAGAAGCCTTTTGCAGGTGTCTGTTTTGTAGTTCCAGATAAAATGGATGTGTAGCTAGAGCGAATGGCTGGAAGAGAGGAGGGTTTACTGAAACGGAATAAACAAGAAGGCTATTTGAGCTATGTTTAAAATACACCAGGCACATTTACATGAGACACCTCATGTGCAGTAGACTAATTCTGTGCATTTGCACGGCAGGCAAAAGCCATACTAATGCACAGTAAAATTAGTCTACTGTGGATTAGAGTCACCTAAAATGTGTGAAACAGCACTATTGTGCAGTAGCATCAGTTACAGCCATTTAGTTTAGTGCTTGTGATAACATACATTTATGCATGTGTAGACATGCCTACTATAAATTAAATACATTGACATTACATGGTGCAAATTTTCATTTCAGTATACATCCTGAGTACCAGAATGACAGTTAGTAAATTGATAATCCTATAATGACCAGCTTTCTAATGCATCTTAATCATGTTTTCTTTAATTATTTATGAAAATAAAATTTAAAAAGGGAAATGAATCAAGACATCATTTTCCGCCCCCAGTTAAGACTAGAAAATTCAGAATCTAGTCTTCTTTTCCCTTTTCTGTGAATCCCTTCAAAGCTACGTATTACAAACAGCTTTCTTCTAATGAAGATGACTGGAGGCTGCAGGAATGCCACTTCTTTTGCTGATTAGAGTTAGCTAAGCAAATGTTGTGAGGTGCACTTTTATATCAGTGGGACAATGCTGTCAATATAAGGAGGCTCTATGTTATTAGGATGATCCATGCCTGACACTTTAGTTAGTTCATTCTGGTAGCACCAATGATAAGCAGGGTGCTTTTCAGACATTTATTGACAGAAATCATAGTCCCTGCCATGAAGAGTTTAAAATCTAAAGGATAATATTTATCTTAATATAATGTTGGCATGTATTACATGATGTTTATTTGTCTTCAGTTTGGATATTTTAATTTTAAATGTAGGAATAGAATTTGTCTGGCAGGTTTTAAGGAGAAGCAGCAGATCATCACCAAATAGCTTTTTAAAGCATACCAAATCCTTTTATATGTTTTCATGTAGCTGGTAGTGTGCAAAAAAATAATCCTTGGATAGTCCTTTTCTCTCCAGTATCTCTTTTCCGATGCCTGCTCTGTTACTATACATGGCTATCCCTCTAGGTCTCTTCCATTAAACCATTTGTGTCAGTTGATCTCTGTTTGGCTCACCCCCTTGCCTGCTCTGGCTGTCAAGTTTCCTTTTTCTTGTCAACAGCAGGATCAAGAAAGAAGGTTCACATAGTTAGACCCATTCATATGGATTCAGAAAACCTGCTGCCTTAAAAAGGTTTTAGTTTCTTTTTTAAAACTCCAAGGAGGCCATCCTCAAAACAAATGAAAGAATAAGGTCTAACACCAATAAAATACTTTAGTACTGTAAGTGCCTGAATCCCAGTTGGTTTTGGCTAGTAAGTAGGTAGGTGCTGATTTGCTCTGTTCACTGTAGGTCTGGACATGTGCAGGGCCCAGGAACATAAGGAATTTGGAAGTCAAATAGGGAAGTGTCTGCTCAGTTGAGGTATCATCTAGGTTAGAGGGCTGATTTGGATCATAGTTTTGGATTTATAGGGCACGTCTACATGTCAGTGTACAGTGACATTGCTATGGCGCCATGGTTTAGTATTTCCTTTTGGAAGTACTAAAGCACGGCGCAGTATGGGCAGTTACCACTCTGTACTTGCGGTACATGGGTTCATTTCGCTGGTATGTCACCAAAGCAGTGCACTATACCCGAGGAATGTGCCCCTACAGCAACATAGTTGGTGATCATGTGTAGACATGTGTGATCGCTATGTTGCCATTGTGCACTGTACAGTGATGTAGCACATCACTACATCTCCATAGGGCAATGTGTAGATGCGTTCATAGACCTCAAATCTTTTTTGGGGGGATGATTCTAAAATGAGAGATGCTTTCTTATTGAAGCATTGTGTAGAGTGTTTCTGTAGTTTAGAAATGTATTTAATTAATGTATTTTGTTGAATTAGCTGGAATTCAGTGTTTGTTTTTTCTTGTTTTATAAAAAATGTGAATGTAAATTATACCAGAGTGTTCAGTGTGTTTCTGTGAATCTGTGTAATATTTTCGTCATTTTAAAATCTGTGTGTATTTGCAGGGATATGGGGGCTCAAAGCTTAGCTCCCTGTCACTTGGCCAAGGCCAAGGTCCCATAGCCATGAAAATGATAGAGAAGGCAGTGAAGGAAGGCAGCTGGGTAGTTCTGCAAAACTGTCACCTAGCAACCTCATGGATGCCAACTCTGGAAAAAGTCTGTGAGGTATAATTCAGTTGTATTTTCTTTTAGTAAAACTTAAGGACTGACTCTCAGGTCTTCTTTGCATATAAAAAGGCCAAAAAGCCAACTTAACCTACTTCTTGAGTGTTCCTTCTACATAAGGGGAATCTTCATAGTGGTGGTTCTGTAGCAGTCTTTTCTTCCTGCTTCTGATCCATGAAGTGTTTTTTAAACAAAGAGTGTGGCACTCATATATCCTTATGCTTGGTAATTCTGTACTGTTGGAATGGCCACTGGGTGTAATAGACAGCAGCCTTACAGCTACCGTTGGCCTCCTCCAATTGCAGCTAAGGACATATGGTCCCCGGTGTTGAAAGTTGAATATTAGTATTCTTGTAAAAAACAAAATGAAACAATGTTTTTTGCTCATTGGTAAATAGAATCCCCTTCTAAAGATACAGAAGGCAATAAGGAGATTTCCTGTAAGCCTTGGCCCCAGCCTGGCAAAATTTATATTTATGGTTAAGGTTAAATAGGTATGGATGTTTGGAGATTGGGACTCTGAGGAGTTTTGCACTTTCTAATTGACACAACTGTAAAAGGGTATGAGCGGGTCTTTTTCTTGCAAACTAACAAAGTGCATAGCTCTACCATGAGTTTTGAATTGTTATTCTTATTCTTACAGCTTTATTATGACAAGTTTGAATTTGAAATGATTATTTTATTAATAAAGGCAGTATAGTTTTTTTTATATATTCTTTTTGTCCATAGAAAGGTCTGTACTGTCTTTGCTCATACATTCCTCAAACATTGACTTTCACATTGAGATAATTCCTGGAAAATTTTTGCTTATATTCCTAAAGATTCAGACAGGTCTGAGTAAAGTAGAGCAGCTTTATAATGGAAATTTCCATGTATGACTGTGAGTCCAACTATAATTATACCTTAAATTTGTAATACATAAGCATTTCATTTGTACATTATCAGATTTTTGCAGCTAGGCTTGTTTTCAAAGGCATTGGCATATATAATATTTTATTCCTTTTGGGTTGGATTCTCCATTTTTGTGTGGTGCTTTCTTTTAGGAGTTTAATCCTGATACAACTCATCCAGATTTCCGACTTTGGCTCACCAGTTACCCATCTCCAAATTTCCCTGTGTCTGTACTTCAAAATGGAGTGAAAATGACTAATGAAGCACCAAAAGGTTTACGGGCTAATATCATCCGTTCGTATCTGATGGATCCAATCTCTGACCCTGAATTTTTCAACACTTGCAAGAAGCCTGTTAGTAATGTATTATTAGTCTTGTTATCTCACTCCTCCTGTAAAGCAGCTAAAGTGGACCTTGGTGGTTATATTCATGTGTGCTGGGTAAAAACTATCAAATTAAGTAGTCTACCTGCACTGCAATGAAGCTGGTTTTGATTACTGATTGCTGACTGCAGTGAAGTGAATTTTATTAATATTTTATTTTTATTTTACCACTATTCTCATTCCTTGCCAGCAGAGATTTTGTAGTGTGCCATTAATAATACAGCTTACTATTTAAAAGTCAAAAGCAAGTCATTTCCCAGTACAACCATGCAAAGTTGGGGAATCTGTTACAGAATATTAACTGAATGTAATGCTGTTTTTGAATTCTACCTTTCATTCAAATCATAAAACTTCTTTCCTCATTGAAATATGAGAGTGAAATGATACATTGGTTGAGTGACACCAATCATAAGAATCTTTTTTCTAAGTAAGTAGACTGGGAAACCCTCTACTCTTTTTGTAATTATTTTTTTGTGTTTTAGTACATTTGACCTAAAACTGGTTTACAATATTTTGTTATAATTAAATAATAAAGATAGTTGCATTTAACTGAAGCTGTATATCTGGCTAAATTATCTTAATTAAAAATCATAGTTCTTAGCTGTAAAAGCATTTTTAGGAATATACCACAACCAAAACACATCTAGATCCAGAAAAAGGAAAGTACAGTAGGAACAATATTTTACAAAACCAGGGCTGCAAATAAAAGTGGTGGGCTGTGATCTTGCTAAAATACTATAAAAAGTCTGTTCAAGTTAATTACTTGTAGAATACTTGTAAGATTACAAAGATACTTAAAACCATCATATGTGATAAACTGATGGCTAAATTCTGAAATTCAGTGCTTCACAAATGATACTTTTGCAGAGGAATCCAGGCTGTTGTGGGACTGCAAAGGCAGACATTTCTTAACTCTCCATATATGATTAAGTTCCACCCTGTACCCCAATATATGGGGGCATCAGAAAGTGGAAACATTTAGAGAAGAAATTCTGTGACTTAATCATATTGTAATGTTCTGTTAAAAGGTTGAATTCAAGAAGTTGCTGTATGGCCTCTGTTTCTTCCATGCACTGGTTCAGGAAAGGCGGAAATTTGGACCACTGGGTTGGAATATTCCATATGAATTCAATGAGACTGATCTGCGAATTAGTGTACAGCAGCTGCACATATTTCTGAACCAGTATGAGGTAAAGTAAAGCAAAGATACTATCCATTTTGTTCTGTATGACATCATTAACGCATATACATTCAATAGTGGTACTTCATAAAAACAAAGGCCTAATTGCAGCATTTCTTTCTAAACATAGTAGTATTCTGGTTATAAACTTATCTTTTTGGGTGTATACAAATATCAAAAATACATCAGTGAAACTTTGCATGCCAAATTCAATCCAGTAACTCGTTTAGGGAACATTCATACAAACAAACTAGATGTTATTCTATGCAGTGGAGCGAGTTTTGCTCCATATACTTATCTTCAATACAGGAAGTTTGTTGGAACTTCCTGTATTGTTTCTGAAAGAGATGCCACCAATGGAATAATCACATTCTTATCTTCAGATGATGTATCAACTAGTATTGTAACTGTATGTGACTCAGCCAAGAGATCACATGGCTAGCACTTGGGCATCTGAATTATATTTCAAGCTTTGATACTGATCTGTTGTGTAAATTTGGCTACTTTCCAACCTGTGCCCTTTTCTTTTTAACTTTGGTAGGGGCCAGGAAGGGAGAGGATGATTAGTTGCCTGGGCACTGAACTGGGAACTGAGTATTGTATCCAGTTGTCCCATTGACTTGTTGGGTGGCAAGTGATTTCACCTCCCCATGCCTCAGTTTCCCCATCTGTAAAATGGATATAACAATACCTGGGTTTTAAAGTGCTTTTAGAGTTTGGGATGACAAATGCTCACTAAAAGCTATGCTCTACTCTTACTATTTTATTGTAAAATAGATTAGAGAAAACCTGTTTTTCCTTCATGTCTTCTTTGTTTACATTGCTTTTGACAGTATTTTTACATAGTGTCATTTTTGCTGTATGCTTGCATTGTTTTCTTCCTTGTTTGAGTGGTCTTGATAAAGAAATTGTGGATTAAAAAAGCATATAAAACACAGGAAAAATGCAACTGCAAAACTAGAAAAAATAAGAGAGAAACTCAAGGACAGGTATCAGTATCACCTACCAAGCTTCACTAAGGGGCTGGAGCAGTGCGCTCACTTTATCAGACTAGACTCACCCCCAGCCTGGTGGTTAGGGACTTATGGTTGTGTAGTGTGAGAGATGCATTCAGATTCCCCCGCAAAATAAGGAAGACTATCCCACAAGCAAAAGGAAGGCATCTAAAAGGAATTAAAAATTAGAATTGGGGGCAGGGTTGCCTACCAGCGGAGGCTTTTATGTGGACTTAGACAGAGGTTAGGTTCTTCCTAGAAACAGATTTGAAACATGGTTGAGCTCAGGTACATAGTAGGTACTGTGGGAGGATGCAGCATCTGGCTTGCTTCTGCCCATATGTAGGCACCTGGGCTAGGGAAAGACATGCAAAAAGCTGGAGCCAGAACTGATTCAATCTTTGCAGGTTAGTTTAACCTGCCTAGATTGAACCAGTTTGCAAGTGAGTAGACATTCCCTTTTCACTCAGGGAATGCAGGCACATGGCTGAGGCCAGAAGCCAGGGGACACTAGAGCAGCCCTTGGCTGCAGGGAAGCTGTGTTGGGGGGGCAGGGCTGGCCCTGGCAGTAGCCTGGAATTAATTGGCCAGGGAGGGGGTTTAATTCCCCACTTCCTATCCCACCAGCATGGACCTGAGCCATAGTCTGCCTGGTTTACCCTCTTTCTGCTGCAGCAGTGGGGGAAGGGGCATGGCCAGACACCAGTCAGCATGGCCCCCTGAGGCAGAGGGGGCAGGGAGGGGGTTTATTCCCTCCTCTGCCCCCAGGGGACCATAGCTGGGGTCTGCCAGCCCTGGCTGCCACTGCCACCAATTGCTCCCTGTGTGGGGTGAGTGGCGAAATAAGTTCCTTCCCTGCCCCCTTTGCCAGATGCTGGAAGGAGTGGGGAAATAACCCCCTTCTGTGCCCCCGTCACCTAAGGGGGCCATGCCAGCCGGCCTCTGGCTGTGCCCCCAACCTCTGCTACTGGAGCAACGAGAGGTCAGGGACTCTGACGGGGGCATCAGCCCCTTGAATCATTTCTGGGGAGCACAAGCCTCTTTCTGGCAGGGGGGCCGTGCTGCGGGTGGGAGTGGGGTGGGGCAGTCATCGCTGCCACAGACTGTGTGGGGTGAGCGGCAGCAGCGGTAGTGGGGGTTTAGGGGGCTATGGCCCCTTCCAAGCCCTGGTGCCTGCATCCAGCTGCTGAATCTGCTCCGGGGACCCTGCCTGGGTGCTGCGTGTGTGTATGTGGGTGTGCATGCGTTGCCCAGCAGCAGCGAGGGGGGAAGGGGCCTCTTTTTCCCCAGCACACAGGCATGCACACAGCAGTGAGGGGAGAGCAGCTTTCCCCCCATCACCAGCAGCAATTAACACATTAAAAAAATTAATAGAAAAACAGATTAACGTGTTAATTGTGGGTGTTAATCATGATTAATTAATAGCCCTAGTTCTGTTACAGGTTTAAGCCAGTTGCTGATTACTTAAACTGGTTTATGTGTAACTTCTGTGCCTAGCCCTGGGGAACTTTGCTTTAGGAGTGGGGTTAGCCTGGATTGCTTTTGGGGTTTAAGCACCTAAATTCTTCTAATCCTTCAAGGTAGATCTGGATCAAACTCTAGTATGATGAATGGAAAGGTGCCATACCCTCTAAAATGTAGATTAGATGGACTTGAAGTGGGTATGGTCAGACCACTGCTTATGTTCCCCCTAATAATAGTTGAATATAGCCTAAATTTATCTTGGAGTAATACTGGTTGTACTCAGGAAGCAGAATTTCTTTAGTGATTGAGAACTGTGTAGAATAGAAAAGGTACAATGATAGGTTTAGGCCTCTAGTGTAGCTATGCTTAAAAAAAAAAAGAAACAATTCAGATGATTTTGTGCTTCAGGAGCTGCCATATGACGCCCTGCGCTATATGACTGGTGAATGCAATTATGGTGGCAGAGTTACTGATGACTGGGATCGGCGTACACTCCGTAGCATTCTGAACAAGTTCTACAATTCAGAAATTGTTACAGATTTAGATTATAAATTTGATGCCAGCGGCCTGTATTTTGCCCCTACTGAAGGAGATGTAAGTATTTAAAAATTATTAAATGGACAAAAATAAAAAAAGACACATCATGGTCATTTTAATCATAAATAACTTTGCTTCATGCTGCTGTTCTTACATGCCTCTTGTTGTGTCTCATACTGTCATTCTGCCAATCCCTTGGAGAGTGACTTGTAATAAATAGGACTAACTAGAACAGACCTGCTTCAGAAAATTGCTACTAAAAATTGTTATAAATGACACTTGTGTGCAAGTCATTCTGTTCCAGAAAACCTTGTCAATTGTATTAGACATAAAAACAATACAGCATAAAATACTGTAGTAGAGCAAAATAGTGGTTTAGTCTGAGGCCCTGGGAACATATTACAGAGATCTAGTTCCCTCTGACAAACTGTCCCTTTCTTGCTCTAGGCAAGCTGGTCCAAAGCTCTTGTTGACTTCATTGGAAGTTGTAGGTAATTACCATCTCCAAAAAACAGGCCTTTGGAAAGTTTCATATTGGTCACCCAAAATGAAGATGTTTACACTTAATGGATATTAAAGATTCAAGGTTTAAACTGAGTGTCATAATGCCTACTCTTTAACCTAGGGATAATTCATACTGCAACCGAGCTAAACCACATTGACTTTAATCTATCCTATTGTTCAGTGCAGGGGTGTGAAACTTGAGCCTCCCCAGACTATGGGATTTCCTGTGCAGCTCTAGAGCCTAGAAAGTTAACACTGCTGCTGCTTGCGCCCTTTTCCCCTACTGCCAATTTTAGTTGCCAGGGGTGATTAAAAACTGATTTTGGTAGCAGGTAAGGGATGAGGAGGCAAGCAGCATTAACTTCCTCATTTCCAGAGCTGTGCCAAAACCACAAGAATTCACACCATTGCCACAGGTGCTCCGGGAGCTGTGGCTATGAGCCCTGCAGACTGAATGTGGTCGGGGGTGGGAGAGTTGCCCTGCAAGCCAGATGACATCCTTCCATGGACTGTATGTGTGACACCCCTGGCTTAATGCTTATCATAATGGTATCTAAGCACTGAAATCCTGTTAGGCTAAAATCCTTGAGGGTATTTAGAATTAGGTCCCTAAATGGGATGCAAGCCCTATTGGAGTTAGGTACCCAAATGCCTTTGACATCTGGGCGTTAGTGCTTAGATGACATTTTAAGAAAGACGGGCTATAAATGTGCTGCTGTAAATAATGAATTGCCATCACCTTAACCTTTGACAGTCTGAAGTGCTCAGATGTCATGTTGATGGGCCCAGTGTAAGAATAGAGTTCTACCCTAGAGCTGAGGCCATTGGATTTGTTAACTTGATGCTAGATAACGATGACCACTCTGGCAGGTTTGGCAGAAGGGAGATACTGTTACTGGTTAGGTGCTTGGAGTTTGGTTCTGTTTAAAACAATGCCGACTACGTTAGGGGCATCTGGAATATTTTCTTTGAACCTCAACTGAAGTAGGCTGCTTTGCATTTCTTCTGGACCTTATTTGATCTTTGAATCTTTTTAATCTCCTAACATAAATCCTTTCAGTACCAAAGCTATATCGAATATACAAAGACCCTTCCACTGAACCCTTCCCCAGAGATTTTTGGGATGAATGCCAATGCTGATATTACCAAAGATCAGTCAGAAACGCAGCTGTTGTTTGATAACATTCTTCTTACACAGGTATGTAAATGACTCGTGGCTGTGAATACTTTTTAGTCATCTCACAATGTACATCATTAATGGCTTTATTATTGTTTAGCTCTATTGTACTTAGTTGTTCAAAGATGTTTCATCTGGTTTCTCCATTTCTCCATTGTGGCTACAAACTTGCTATTGTACTAGTATATCTTCTGTGGAAGATAATTAATTCCTTGTAATTGCAATATACAAAATAACAAAACAAATGAATGCTGCATTTACTCAAATCTAAGATGACCCCCCAATAATTAGAATCTGTACATGGAAAATTTATAAATTTCTTATAATTTTCCAGGTATAGAACCTAACTATTGGAGGGTTGTCTTTAATTCATCCCTCACACCACTGTAAGCAGTGAGGAGGCAAGTGGTGTGGGGAACTCACAAAGCTTGTCCCCTGCTTTTGCTTGCCCCCCTGCTACCTACCTGCCTTCAGAGTCAGGCTCCCCTTTCCCCCCCAGTCTCTGCTCCCCACTTCTCCCCAGGCTCTGCTCCTCACTTCCCCTGCCCCCACAGGCTCTATTCCCTGCTTCCCCCTCTTAGTCTTGCTTTGTGCTGGGACGCTTCATCCCCATTCTAGCCTGAGAAACTAAGCACAGCCCCAGCCCAGCCCCTGTAGTGGTCATGCAGGCTGCATGCTGCTGCTACAGGCCATACTAGAGCTGTGCTCAGTGTCCCAGACTGCAGCATGCATGGAAACTGCTGGTGTGGAGCAAGGGAAAGGAGGGGATGCAGAAGGGCAGGCTGAGGAGCAGAAGCTGTGGGAGGGGAAGTTAAGGGAGAAGAGGCTTCAGGGGGTGATGGTGGGGTGCAAAAGTGGGGGAGGGGGTGGCCAGCAGTTACAGCTATGGCCAGACCCTGGGTAGGGGCTGAAGCCTGAGCCATAGCAACCATCCTCCCCACCACCGCCCTCATACTCTTCTAAGATGTCGGGCTTTCCCCCATGTTAAATGGGGGGAACCCCTTATCTTAAAATTAAGGAAATTCAGTATCAAGATATGGAGAAGAGTTAGGTCAAAGCCCTAAGTTAACTAAGTTAGTTGTAATATTAACAAATATAACATAAAAGGCATTATTAAAGCATCTAACGTAGCATTAGAAAAGCATGTAAACAATGGATGAGTCACTAATTTAGGGCACAAACGTGTGTGACTCTGCTCGTGATGACTTTCCTGTTAGAGGATGAGCCACAAGTCATTGCAGCATCAGAGTTTTGACAGCAATCTCTGAAGTGTCACAGAAGATGCTGAAAAACTTTCCCTTTGAAGGACAAGCTGTCCATTTGTAAGAGTCCTACATATAATAAAGCATACAGCATTGTGAAAGAAATGAGCAAATTTTAATTAATCACATATGTGTGAGGTAGCATGCATTGCCACAAAAACAGTAAAAATGTTGTACTTACTTTGTTTCCTTACGTTTAGTGTACAGAAAATCCTCCCTTGATTCATAAAATATTTGAACTGTGTAGTGTTAGCAGTGTAATTTTTCTTCAAAAGTTATGCCAGCACATTACAACCCTAGCTGGACTGATCACTACTAGTGTGAAAATCCCATGCTATGTTTACTGGAGTTGCCATGAACATTGATTTAAGAGGGCACAAGATCAGCCTCTTAATCTCTCTACTTATTCCCCGACTTTTTGTAACCTAAAGAAAGCTACCCAAGAGGAATGTTACTTTGGCTTTTTGTGTTTGTGATCACTCTTTATAACCAGGTGATTTTCAGAGAAACTCCAGCTACTCCAAAACTGCAAATGACAACATATTTAATCAGAGAAATAATGTGATGGAACACTTATTTTAGAACATCGCCACCTACTGAATACACTCTGAGGGCATAATACTGTAACTAAACTTAAAAAATGTATTTTGTATGTTTTGCATTTACCTTAGAACAAATAAGGCCATCTCCATACTAATTCATTAATAATAATTTAAATGTGCTTCTCCATTTAAATATTCACTGAAATTCACACGATCACTTCTTTTTCTACCTCTGGCTACTTATAGTCTCGAGCATCAGGCTCTGGTGCAAGATCAACAGATGAAATTGTTCGTGAAGTGGCAAGTGACATCCAGAGCAAACTTCCTTCAGACTTTGACATTGAGGCTGCAATGAGGAGATACCCAACCACCTATACACAAAGTATGAACACTGTACTTGTCCAAGAAATGGGGCGATTTAACAAATTGCTGCATACCATCAGAGACTCCTGCATTAACATCCAGAAAGCAATCAAGGTGAGCTTTGTCAAAACTTAAGAACAAATAATTTAGAGCTAGGTCATATGACATGTTGAGCTATCGCTTCAGTTGTACCATGCACCTGACAGGATTTAACCATTAATCTGATGCAATATAGAGGTTCTGAAATTATTAACATACTAGTGTAAAAGCATGTAAAAAATGACAGGCAAAATAGGCTATTTGTTGTAGGGTACCACGTTTCTGTTATCCACTGTCTCATTATCAATTTGAGCTGTTCTGCCTGGTCTTCTTCTATACAACAGGCATCCATCAACATTTCCAAGTGTCTCCTCTGTAAACTCCTTCAGATATTTCTTCAGACATGGATGATTTTCCATGCACGATGCATTTGGGTTCAATCTACCACATGGTCCGTAAAGCATACATCTCATCATAATGACCTTTGCTCAACAATCAATGCACTGTTGTACAATTGACTGTTTGTTTTAAAGTTCTGGTAATGCTCATTGTTTCAATTCATCATCAAGTCGCGCAAATACTCCGGACACAGTCTTCTTGGAGGCAGAATCACTTTACCCTCATGACAGTAACCCCGGAATTGGCTATCTGATGGTCTTTCAGCTTGGAAGTTTAAAGAGTTACAAAATTGCCACACCATGTTTATCAATCCACAACTATGTTCCTCAGTCTTGTCTTCAGTGAACCTATTGTTTCTACTCTTTCAGCCTGTCTTCTATTGTCTGTGCGAACCCTCTGCCTTTCCATTCCATCTCTTCTACAATGTCCTCTTTGCTCATTTGTTGCAGTTTGTCTTACTTTTGCCATACTTTCTATATTCAATTGCTGTCTATTCTCTGCCTCACCTTGGCAAAGGTGTTATGGGACAAAATTCAAGTAAGGGTGTTAAGGGACAATTTTTGCTTGAATATTGAGAGTACACCATAACTAATTGAAATCAATCACTGAAAGTCCAGAAAAGTGAGTGCAGATACGGTTTTTTGAGTGTGACAGACAGAATGACAAAGGCACAAACAAAAGAAATTATTACTTAAGATATTCAAAGACTTGAGGTTCCAAGTGGATATATTACACGTGTGTTGAGCAACTGCCAATAACTAAATGTAAAAGAGTAACAGAGAAATACCATTTTGGTTTCTGCAAAGAAGCTACTTCCCCTTTGTTTTAACACTTTAAAACTTAGCATGAATGGTGAAAAGTACTTGAGCAATTTAGGAATACAAACCACGTCTAGGGATAGCTCTACAAAGTGAATACAGCAAGGTGCTGCAATGGTTAGGATTGCCAGGCCTAACCTGTAGGCAGCTAGCCACCAAACAGGATTCGCAACACCCAAATCAGGCACCAACAGCAGAATCCCATTTTAATCACAAGCAATCCAAGTGCCACTTACCTGTTAATTAGCTGTGTAACACACTTGGTGAGAGTCCTTTACATGTTATTTTGATTCTGAAATTGCTGCTGTGCGTCTGTGCACATTTTGCAGATGCAACTTAGCAGGTAAAAATATCAGAAGCCTCAGGTGTAGAGGCCTTTTACACCTCAAAGTGATTTAGACTCTGCCAATGCCTGTTCAGCTTCTGTCTGTGGGCAGGAAAAGTTAGTCACACTTGAACTGCAACCAGTAGGAGTACATTGCAGGGGTGTTTGGCAGCCAGGTTGTTCACAGACCTTGCCTAACCCACACACATAAAGGCCCTTGTTAGTTTTTGTTAGTCTGAGGCAGCTGTTAGGGTGAGCATCAAGTAGAACAAGCATATGTCAGACAGTGCAGGACTGGTTCCTGAGGTGATCCCAGACACAAGAGAAAACTAGGTATGGAACAGGCTCGATGACTGGAGGGACCACAACTGGAAGACTAAGGACTAGAAGGGCATTGTGGTATGGTAGCTATGGTATGAGCCAAGGCTCTCTTTTCCCGCAAGTGGTGGGCTGGCTGTGGTAGGTGGGTCAGTGCTGCTGGGGTCTGGATTCTGTCAAGCAGTTCGGGATTTCCTGGCAACTGTCTCCACCAGGTGTTCCCTAGAGGCCTTTGCATCTGCTGTGCTCACCACTTCTCCCCTGCTCACAACCTTTCTTGTCTGCCCCTAGATTCATAACCCTGCTCAGTTACTTCTAGGCTGGAAGTGATGGCAGCACAGGGCCGGAGAGAACCAAGGTTGGTGATCCTGGCTGGAGGAGGGGCTACATGTGAGAGGCTAGGAACCAGGCACCTACCCTTGCCAGCATTGCTAGCAAACTTCTGTCATGACTCTCTGTAGGGCTACTATATCTTGCACCACAGCTACAAATAGATACTTGCTGTCATACTTTGAGGCTAGGCATTGAGCTTGCTCATTATTAGTGATGTGAGCTGATGTAGGCAAGGTGTAGGGTGGCATCCTGGGGCTGAGGTTAGATTATCATTCCAGACCTGCAGATTCCCCAAGACCAGAGTACTGTGAGCATGTGACCAGGGTGACAGTCTGAGTCCTGTACTCTGTGCCAGGAAGGAGACCTGTACCAGAAATGGCCTATACTCACTTGGATGCTGGAGGTACAGCTCTAGTGCATCTTTCCCAAGATGCCAGGTGTACGTGGAGCATCATGCACCTGATAAACACCTCCCAGCCAAAGCTCCCTTGGTCCTCTACTTGATGCAGGCACATTTTTGGCCCACTACAGCTTGCCTCTGTTTCTTTTGGATGGCCAGTATGGACCATCTCTGGTTTTCTGTTCACCACTCCCTCTAGAAGCAATTGTGTGCATTGGAGCTGGTGTGGAGCAGTCAGTTAATGGCCTGCAGCTCCTGGGGACTGAAGGTTAGGTGGTATACAGGGGCCTCACAGCGCTGGTATCCTCATCTCTGCTGCTGGCTGGCTTGTTTCGTGCCATACCAGCATTGTGTGCATGTTCTGGATTGCTGACACTGGACTGGCTGCAACCATTGCTTCGTGAGTACGTTTTGAGACTGGTCAGCCAGTTATTACACAGCATCAGATGGGTACCCCTGGCATCTGCATGGACATGTGCCTAGACACAGAGTAGTAGATCAGCAGTGGAGCTGGGTTTGGGAGATCCACTTTTGTTTCTGAAGTAATCAGCCATGTGAAGTCAGGGAGTCTTCACTGAAGCAACCTGTAGCTGGCTGGCTGCCTGGCCCAGGAGCTTGCCAGAGCCTTTGATAGAGCGTTCCTGGCTGCTTTCAACAAGTATTACAGATAAGGAGCTGCTGTCTGTCATTAACTGTAGAGCTGCCCTGGTACCTTGGTTGTGTTTGTAAGCTGCTTTTGGAGGACTAATTGGTGAGGCACACCTCTGGGATGTACCGTCCTCACCTTCTCCTCCCACCCTGGGTGGGGTGGTCATATTATCCGTATCACCTTCACGCCCCCCACTCTGCCCCCCCTCCCCCCCAACCCAAACTCACCTTTGAAATGGCTGACTTACAGGTATCCCTGTGGCTGTGTGCAGCTGTTTTATGTGAGACAAGGTGTGGCAGGCCTTGCTTTGCCAGGGTATGGTAGTCCCACTGGCCTGTCTTTCAGCATTAGTGTCCCTGGGTGTTTTGAGAGACTGCCCTGAGTGGAGAAGCAGAGGAAAAAGATGGTGGTGGGGCAGGGAGGGAACAGCCTTGAGTGGCCTGTGTACTATTGTACTGAAAATAAGTACCATAGAAGTCAGACATGGATCCTGGTGAAGGATGCCAGGGCTCCTCCTCCTCCTCCTCACAGTGCAGTGTGCACGGCCCAGTACAACGACCCGCTAATGGTAGCTACAGCCAACCTCCATCGTTCCTCTGGCAGATTTAGGTGGAGGGCCAAAGGCAGGTCTTTCAGGACAAAGACCAGGGTAGGTGACTCATTGACGGTGACCCTACCTTTTAGCCTCTAGGACAGAAGCCAAGTCTGATATGGTCAGGGCTGAGACTGAGGGCACCTCTGCCAGAACGTGTATAGGCTAGGGCCTTCCCTCCTGCTAAGTCTGTGGGGAAGCAAGAGAAGTATGCTATAGCCCTGTGTGGGGGGCACTGCTGCCTCTTACCCCCACCAGTTCACTGCATCCGTGCCATCCTCTTGGCAGTAACTCAGCCATTGGGAGAGGTCACGTGGTGCTGCTGTGAGAATTTTAAAATACTGTCCTCTGTGACGAATTGGGAGAGTGCGATTGACGCAGTGCAGTACTGTTCCCCTGTGGTAGTGTGGGAAGAGAGCTAGTAGCGGTCCAGATGGGGTGGAGGTGTGCCCATGGGGATGTGTCCTGGTGTTGCACGGAGGCCAGTGGAGATGGTGTATTTGTGCAATCTGTAGCAGCACCTGCTTGAAGCTGCTGAGAGCTAGTAGGGAGAGCACAAATTGTCTGCCCATCCAGGAGTGTGGGGGCTTACCTGTGAGCCTAGCTACCTTTCTCAGGGAAGGAAGTTGCTCAAGGTGCTGTCAGTACACCTGAAAGAGCTGCAGCACCCTGAACACACCCTGGGGAGACAACACAAAAATCAACGACAAACCTCACCCATTTGCCTTCGTAGGAGAAGCTTGAATGAAATAGGATGCATTTCTGCAGGTGCCTAAATCCTACTGTATACATACTGTGGGGCAATGAGGGATTAGCCAGGGGAAGGAGGATCAGCTGCCTGATCCCAGCCCTATAAATCGGTCTTGGTCAGTAACTACAGCATGGGTGAAATTGGCTCTTGCCTATAGCTCCCAGTACAGTGAGTTGAGGGGGCGGGAAGCTAAGAATCGATGCCTCAAAAGCCAGCACACTGAGCTGAGCACTGTGGTAGCCAATCACAAATACCAAGCACAAAAGTAGACCTCAGCTGCTACATTTCTCTAGGGCTTAAGCACAGTAAATTTAATGATCCAGGTAGTAGAGCCCTCAAGCACACCATGCTGGGCCATAGAGGGCTGCTTCCTAAACTGGATGCAGTGTAGCCACATTTCTGGTGCACTGTGAAGAAATTAATTAATAAAGGTGGGGGGGGTGGGCTAATCAGCAATGACAATTAGTCCATTTGAAGTGCTTTCTGCTTGGCAGTGCCACTATATGGCAAGTTTACTATGCAATCCTGCCTTAAGTACCTTGAGACTGCAGGTAGGCACCTGCCTCTGCTTGCATTTCACAGCTTTAAACCTTCTTCCTGTGTTGCAAGGGTAAACATGCTTGAGGCTGTTGGCCCAGAAGGAAAGTCCTGGTGACTTTTAAATAGTTTAAGTTGCTTTTGGAAAGAGATTTTTTTTTTTTTTTTTGTGGAGCCCCAAACCCTACATTATACTTGGAAAAAATGTACCTATGGACACAAACTCGATCATATGAGCCATCAGGATTTCATTACAGTATGCCAGAAGGAAAGCCAAAGCATTTGGTAAAATGATACTACTTCTCACCACTTATATTAGTTTTTTTAATAAATAAGACAAAAAAAATCAGAAGTTAAATATTCACCTGTATGTAATGTCTTTTGGGCTTGTTGCCACTAAGCTGTTTCACAGCTCTCTCACTTCTAACGAGGTAAGGATGCTCAGTACTGTTGGGCCCTGAGAGGCAACTTGCAGGTGCATCAGAGCCATGATGAAGACATTCAAAATACCAAAACAACTTGAGAAGGGCAACTTGAGACCATTCATGTTTCATTTTGCCCATAATGCTAGGTGAGGAGGCGTTTAAAAAAATACAAAGGCAGAAAACTTAAAATAGAAGGAAAGCTGTTTAAAATAACTAACTACAAGTTGCCTGTTATGCAGTACAGCACTTTGGAAGATTTGGAGGGAGAGAATATTTACGAATGAGAACACGTAGAGTTATGATAGCAAGGATTTAAAAAAAAAAAGTTTTTGAAGTGATATAAAACATCATGCTCCTGATCTCTAATAATGGGTTGGAAGAATTTTTCAGTATGGGTAGTCGTTTCATTTAGTATTCTTTACTCTTATATTGAACCATTTGATACTGGGCCTTTGTAGGACTGCAGGACCCTGAAGTTGCCACAGATCTGATTCCCTCTGGAATTTCTGATTCAAATTGTCTCTCTTGTTGTGGACGAAACTTGGATAATAGTTTTATTTTTATTACAACATGGGCAGTGTGCTTTGAAATGTGGAATGAGAACTACTCTGCCATCTTACTTTCCAAAATCTACTTTAGGGCCTAGTGGTGATGTCTGCTGAACTGGAAGAAGTGGTGGACAGCATTTTGAAAGGCAAAATTCCAGGAATGTGGATGAACAAGTCTTACCCAAGCCTTAAACCACTTGGCAGTTATGTGAATGATTTTCTTGCCAGATTAAAGTTCTTACAGGTGAGCACACGCTATTAAAAAACCTCTTCTGACTGATAGGAATAATTTTGTTTTCTGGTTCAGGTGACACTTGTAGACATGCATGTTGTCTCTGCATGATTAATTGAACTGAAGTTCAGCATACAGCAATTTGTTCATCAGTGCACAGAACACAACTAAGATTTGCAAAGTATCATACACCCTGCTAAGACAGTTGTACATGGCATTAAAATGTCCATATCACTTGCAATGAATTCACTAAAAACCTCTTAAGTGACAACTGTTACTGGCAGTATTCAGAGCAGTTAAAGGAATATAATTTCTTAGATATGAAAGTTTATAATACTGTTGATTGGCTGAAGTTAGGAAATCTTTTAAACTCCCTCATGTATAGTAACTAGCGTTAAATACGAGTCTGGCTGGGAATTGGATGGCTACATGGGGTCAGCCAAGAACCATGCAAACTTTCACATTTGGACTACAGAGGATTTCCAAAGTGTTGTTCAGTACTGACAAAATAATAAACTGATTCTTGTTTAATAGATTAGTAATCTCAGCCAGTTCATAAGGACATTTACCTGTAGCTCACATTAGCATTAAGTCTTTGTTGGTAGCTTCAGCAGAGACAAAGAACAAACTTGCTTGGAAGAGAAAGGCACTGTAAAGAAGAATGGTACTGCTTATGCTACCCCAAAGATGGGGGAAATAAATAAATAAATGATATGGTGTCCCCAGTTCCAGTTCTCTCTCTCGCTCTCCTTCAGGGCCCAGGTATCAGTGCTAGCCATCTTTCTCTTCACCTGTTTGCTAGGCACCATCCCTCCAAGCATGCACATATGCAGCATGATCCCTGACACCAAAAAGGCTTACAGTTTAAGGAAGAGGAAGATAACACATAACACCCCAGCCTGGGAAGGGGGAGGGCGAGAGGGAGGGCAGGGCAGAAGACTAATATTGGTTCATGAAGCAATGCAGGGGTTTTATGATGCTTTTATTCCTAATGTTTTTAAGATGAATTCTAGCTTCTCTCTCCCCTTCTCTGCTGCACAGTTGTGGTACGAAGATGGAACTCCTCCAGTCTTTTGGCTTTCAGGATTTTTCTTCACTCAAGCCTTCTTAACTGGTGCCCAGCAGAACTATGCAAGAAAATACACCATTCCAATAGATTTGCTAGGCTTTGACTATGAAGTGCTGGAAGACAAGGAATACAAAATTGCTCCTGAAGATGGTAAACAAACATGTAAAGCCTTAAGCAACTTATGTTGGTATAAAGTTAGGAAGTTCAATTCAGGGGTACGGGTGGATGAATTCTTTGTATTAACAAATTATGTATTTGATTTACTGCACAGGAGCTTGGAAAATGCAGGCAACTTGTTAATTCATTACTGTCCAAGGAAGGCCTCTACAAGAGGCCTTTGTATCACATCTTTTTAGTAGGACAAAGATTACCACCTCAATGCACCTGCTGGGCAGGATTGTTCCATACAGTATACTGCAGCTTCATTGATTACAACTCTTCCCCACCAAGAGTTCTACCCAGTCCCAATAAGCAACTTTTTTAGTATATAGGAAAATCTCAACTAATATTCTGTATTCAGCCTACATTTACTTTTTCATTTCATCATTTCATTTTTTACCCCCAAGATAGTTTGCCGACCCAGTGGAAACAAACTATTGTGCAGAAGCACATTGTGACAGTAATCCTTATAAATAGCTTTAGAAATAACAAATAAATTGGTGCTAAGTTCTACACTTCCTACTGGAGTCCAAATGTTGATGCCCTCGCTGCCTTTATTCTCATTGCAGCCAAGAGTCTCCGTGGAATAGAAGATTCATCTGAATGGTTTTCAGCTTTTAACACCAAAAATCAGGACAGCAGTCTTAAATTTTCAATGAAGGGTTATATGAGACTAAGGTGTACAAACCAAGAGCTGGTGAGAGGCTTGACCTATCCCAGTGTAGGCAGAGCTCCCAGTTTCTCTACATTGCAAGGCAGGAATATTCTTGCCTTTGAGACTGAAGTGATTCTGTTTGGCCATGTTATTTTCTATTAAAATAAGGAGACAGTACAGTGATATTATCACCCAAGGATAATGTATTGGACAACTGCAGGTTTGCACACAACACTGATATTCCAGAGATACCCAGCTCTGTTCCTTTATCTACAGTTGTCATTTGAAACTCTGATTATTAGAAACCTTTTTAACATCCATTGAGAAACCAGACAATCAATTTTAAACCTTCAATACCTTTATAAATAACCTATGAAAATATGTGATTTTGTCCAATTTTACATTTATTCTTTTAAAATATGGCTTGCTCTTTGTGTATTAACTAACTGAAATCCACTAACATTCAGAGAAAGTTAGACAGTAAAAAGTAACTATATTTTTTGACCAGTATTTCACACATTAAGGACTTTCAGTACCATATATCAGCTGAAACTACCTAAGTGCTTTACACCAGCTTCTGGCGCTGACTGCTCCTTTCCATCCCTTGCGTGAGGGATTACTAGAAAAGTGTAAGAGAGAGCTTCAGCCTTATGAGGAGCCCAACACAGCAGTAATACCCCCATCAGAGGATGGGGCAGTGTCCTTTGTGCCATGCAAAAGAACAGATACAAATATATGGAACAGATATTTCTGTATCACTTACAAGTATAAGTATTCTGGTTTATTCTCTGTAGTGTAAGCTTAAGTATGTAATTTCATTTCACACTGTTCTCTACAGTATGTCCCCAAACAAACCTTTTCCTTAAACTTCACTTTCTGCTTTATTGTATTTTTCTTTGAAAATTAATTCAGGTGTCTACATTCGGGGACTATTCTTGGATGGAGCTTGCTGGAACAGAAAAACTAAGAAATTAGGAGAATCTTATCCGAAAATCCTTTATGACACTATACCCGTGGTAAATATTTTTCACATGAATTGGGTTTATAGGGAAGAGTAATTACTACCAATCAGAAGTTAAGGCTGCTGTGTTCATGTTTTAAAGTACTGGGAAAACTGCATCTTATTAAATAAGTAAAAATAAGCTTCTGCCAGCTGAGCAAGTTAGTCACCGGCTTCACATAATTACCTGTATGGCAACTTATGTAGTAAGCCAGCATATTTTTTCATCTAAAGTGAAAATATTTTGAATACTATTGGAAATGCCAGAGAGCCGCTGATCATCAATCTGCTTTGAAGTCAATTAGGAGGAAGTCTGGGGTAAAAGGAAGCACTTAGGATCAGCTACAAAAATCAGTGGTGAAGAACAATTTTTTGAAGTGTCTACTGAGTTCTGACCATGTTGAAAAAGTTCTGCAAGGTAACTGTAAGTGCACTTTGGTCAAGGTAAATGGTTTATCCTGTTTTACTGCAGATGTGGCTGAAGCCTTGCAAGAAATCAGACATCCCACAACGGCCAAGCTACCTTGCTCCCGTGTACAAGACCAGCGAGAGAAGAGGAACCCTGTCCACTACAGGACATTCCACCAACTTTGTGATTGCAATGATTCTGCCTTCGGATAAACCAGAAGAGCACTGGATTGGACGGGGCGTGGCACTGTTGTGCCAACTTAATTCATAATCTTAGTACAGACATCTGAAGATGCTTGTGCTTCAAAATCATCATTTGCGGAAAATATATTTCAGTGTTTAAATGACTGCTTTCAAAGGAATCAAAACATTTTCAAATAAATCCTTTATGCAATGGATACGTGCCTTTCACAATTCATTTAAAAATCAAACTAAAATATGAAATAGCTGCATATAATAAAACTTTACAGAAACCAGTTATTTCTGCTCCTTGAATAATTTTATTTTCTGAAGCTCCTTATAAATAAGGAACACATAAAATGAACACAACACTGTTGACAATGAACAAAACAGCATTTGATCATTTCCAGCTTTATAAAATTTAAAAAAATGATTTTGTTATAACAAAAAAGATTGATAGCTCTGCGAGTATTTTATAGGACCATAATCACATTTTTAAACCATGGACTCATTGTTAATGGAAAAAATTCACACTGCATCTAGCTACTACAGTATTTTCTACGCATAATCACAGCTGATTTGAGTGCAATGTGATCTACATCAAAATTCATATGGGATGTCACACAGTGACAGCACTGTAATATACAAGTAACATTTATGCCCTCCAACAAATACAAGTTAAAAGAGAGACTGGATTCAAGGAAAATGGAATGTTGAAGCTAAGGAGAAACGTGGTGGAAATCGGACCGTCTGTAACACGACTTAGTTGTACATTAAAATGGTCTGGAATTCAATACTGGCAGAAGTCTAAGAAGCAGCCACGGCTATTATATTGCTTTTCACAATGTGTAATAAATACTAGAAAATAAGGAGACAGATTCCATTCTTAAGGAAAATATGCAGTACCTAAAACTTCGATATGAAAAAGGTCTCGAATAGAAGTGTGAAGCATTTTTTGGTAGAGGCAGTATATTAAACTAACGCATTCCAACTAAGAGAAAAGTAAATATACTACCCAAAATATAAGAATCTTCATTTATAAAGAATTAAAACAAATATAGCATAAACACAGGAGGATCTGTCAAAAATCTCAATTCAGTTACATAATGACCAACTTCTATTTGGCAGCACTAAGTTCAAGAAAAGTCAATGGGCAACATGTCTGAAAACCTCTGAGTGACATAGCATCTCAATATTTTTTAGGATCTGGGCCTTAAGAGGGTAAACTGCCTGGAGCTTGTTATTTACAGACAGACCCATGTCACTCCAGTTGGTGCTTTTGAAAACTTCACCCAAAATCTTAAAGTTACCAAAATCCACCATTACCAACTGAAATGACATCTGTGCTAGTTAGGGTCAGGCTTTGTAGTCTTCCTGCATGCAGGAATCCTGTCGACTTCAATGAATTCTGAGCACCAAGGGACAACATGACTGGACCCTTGATTTCTGGTTTCTTCCCTGAAGTAACCACATCTTTTATTGAACTGGACCCTTAATACTGTTTCTTGCACTAGAAACAAATAGCAGCAAGAACCAACTAATATAATTAAAAAGTATGAGCTGCTGTGTTAAAAAAAAGGAACAGCTAGATCGCTAAATTGCAGAGTCAAAAGCAAAGGGCCACAGGAACAGGGATTAGCTGAGAAATAGAATGAAGATACTGACTCTAGGTAAGGTGTTAAACCAGTACATTTTAGCAGCTACACTGGCGCCAAGCAGGCTGAAACAAAACTTGCTGCACATAGTCAATACACTGCTTATCTTGCATACATATAAATGACAACTAGAACAGCATGTTAAAAGAAGGCTACTACCATGCTTAGGACTGGTACTATATTATCAAGTCAGACTGCAGAATTAGCAGGGCTTGCACTTCTCACAAATTCACAATTTTAGAAGGAGACAGGGGTACACAAGAGACAAATCTATGTCTGGCATTACAAGCACCTTGGCACTAAGCAATCAAAGATAAGCTGATTCCAGCAAGTTAAGGCTTTTGATTGTTCAGCCTATTCCTCCCTACTCACCCATACTGGTACTTAATAACAGCTGCTTTTATATACCCTAGATACCAACAACACAACAAAAATGTAACAAAAATGTTAAAAAAAACCCAACTAACTCTGATGCTGGAAATAGGAATATTCTAGCACACAGTCTATTGCCAGCAATGGCTGGTGCTATAAAGCTCTGATGCCAAGACACTGAAGAAATACATTCTAAACTGATACTATAGCATTATAAATGATCCACCCATACTGCACAGAAAGGACAATTTTTAACCTATGCAGTCAGGCTCAAGAGTTAGTATCATACTTTAAGGTTTTAATATAAAAAGGAAAAAATATATACCAAAATAGCTATTAAAAGTGAGAAATTCCACTATGGATCATTTGTTAGAGGAGAGTTTGCCCCACACTCACAGCCACGGTTTTTCAGTAGTTTACGTTGCAAGTGGCACACAATACATGTTTAGTTTCTGCAGCAGAGAACCAGGTTCAGTCCACTGACTCTGACACCAGGGATTTCCCCAAGCTAACACTAAGTCTACCACATTCTGCATTTTCCTACTCATACCAAGGAACTAACATCAAATAAATCTTAGTCAGGAAAACATTTTGTCAACTGCACTTTGCAGTGGATCACATAGATCTTTGTGTACTGCAATGGTCTGCCTCCTTAGCACAAACTTTATAACCATAGTATACAGATTACTGTGTCCCAACAAGATTTAAACATTGTTGGACTTTTTAAAAGTTAAAACACTACAGTATTTCCTTGTCATGTCCACTCTGTAAAATATAATTATTGGAGTAGTACATACCGTTGTGCAGAGAGCAAGCACATGTTAATAGAGGCCATGTAAGACGTGCCAGTCTATGCACAAGTACGAATTTCCTAGGTTCTATCTAGCTGTAATGCCAAAAGACACTTCCAGCACCAGAACAAGTCTTTCACTGTGTGTTTTAATTTGTAAAAACTACACAACATTTTGAATGCAGCACAAGAACTCTAAGTTCATGTCTCGTATTTCACATTTCCTACTTCAGGTCAGGCTGGAAGATGCACTGTGCGCATCATTATCTTCTGTCAGAAAGCAGCAGAAGTTAACCCACGCAGAAACAAATATACTGTACTTGTGTAAGTAGTGCAAGCCACTGCTTTTTCTCTGAGCAATGTGTATACAGTACAACAGTGCAGACTCAAAGCCATACAGTAACATTATCATAACCACAAAGATCACTAGAAATGGTCAAAACTGGATGTTGAGCACAAGTTTATCTTCATAAAGGGCAATCACCAGCATGATAGCAAATCCAAGGAGCAAACCTAAATTCTGAAGAATGAATTGTCCCACAGGACAATATCCATGTTCCTCATGATCTCCATCTCCATGAAGCATTTCTGGAAGCTGGGAAAAAAAAGAAGAAAATTTTAAAACAGCCATTTCACTTTTATTATATTATTATTTTTAAATTGGCACACATAACTAGGTATATGGATAACAGTGATTCCAGGAGTCAGTTATAAAAATCAACTAATGCATAATCAATGTGGTAGCACATCTAGTGTTAGTCAATAAAACTCTACCAGACCTTGGCATTCATAATGAACATTTTCAACTGATTATATATTTTAAGAAGGTGAAAGAAGCTCTACGAAAGAGCATCCTCATTGCACCACCCCAAAGCATTTTTGGCCTTCCCTGTGTTGCTTTTTTGTTTCAGTGGTAACCTCCTCAGGGTATGCAGTATGCAACTGTCCTCTGAGCTCTGTTCCTTCAGGTTAAATAATTCTATTCAAACACTTATAACAGAAGTTTGAATATGCTTAGTACTTTTGAGTACTAATATTTAAAATGCTAAAGATACGAAGTAGTGGCACTCAACCTTTTTTCCCCGGTGGGTGAGATGGCAATACCTGGTCCAACCACAGGCTGGATGGTGGCCCCAATCCAGCACCTGGGGATGGCACAAGGGCCAGCATCCAGCCATGCAGAGGTGCATGGAGAGCCCAGCCCTGCAGGAGAAGGGGCTTCACTTCGCCTTATGGACAGGAGGAGCAGAAGGGGCATGGGCCTGGCCGCACAGGAGGGAATGTGGCGTGGGAGTGTGGCTTGGCCTGGGGGAAAGGGTGTGACCCCAACCCAGCCCTGCAGGGGGAAGGAGGCCTGGCTTTAGCCAGGTGCATGGGGCGGGTTTTGACAGGGGAGGAGGGGGAAGGGAGGGTGGCCGTATTAATAGTCACCGCTCTCCTGCAGCCAAATTTCCTGACCCATGGGAAGTCCTGGAGACCAGATATGATGGCTCTGCAGGACACATCTGGCCATGGGCCGGGGGTTGAGCACCCCTTATGTAGAGGAATTTGCATTGATAGTGTTGTTCCTCACATTTGCTTGCCATATTTTATAGCTACTGGTTGGAAAATAATAATAGTTCTCTGTATGCAAGCTCTCAGAAAAATTCTACAATCCTATTTAAAAGCCTCCTAAGCTCTGTCACTCAGTTACATGCATATAGTTTCATAGTTTCTAGGGTTGGAAGGGACCTGA